ATTGGACGGAATAATTTTAGGACATCCAGATTGCAGGTGGAAGCCACCAAACGATACGCTCGGACGGTAGACATGTTACCATGCACGGGGGCACGGCGATCATCGCGCCTGACCCCATCGCCCGTGCTTTCGACCCCAGGGAAGAGCACACAATTTTGTACTCGGAAGTCTTCAAAACTAAGCGTGTCAACGCTTGCTGGATTCAAATTTCACCAAAAATCAGATCGTTGATTTTTTCCATCTACGCTAAGACTGGTGCTTCTGCCTCACCAGAGATCTTCGGGTCCAACGATTGTCTTTTGGAAAAGATTTTTCTCATTGCCGCTCAGTTTGGGGATATTCCAGTGATCGTAGCTGGCGATTTCCAGTTGAATCCACTTTCGTACCCCTCCATTGCCCACGCTGTTCACTTTGAGGGCTGGAGTGACCCCTTAACTTCCGCCGACACCGAAGGCAGACTGCATCGCCCAATCACCTTCTCTTTGGACGGCACCTTTACTAGTGAGGGGGATGGTGGTTCGTCCATCGATGGAATCCTTCTGAATCGCGTTGCTTTTTGTGCTTTGAAATCCATCGAGGTCATTGAGCTTCAGGGCCACCAGCATAGACCTGTTCGGGCTGTTTTTTCTTGGCAACCTATCCACCAAGTTGGAGAAATTCACACCAAGTTCGCTGCGCTTGACCATACGAGTTTTGAGGATGCCGCGTCTAAACAACCTGACAATGTTGATGTTGTTGCTTCTGACTTATGGTCACAGGTTTCCAAAGAGCAATTCGATGTCGCAGAGGATTTCCCCGCCAAATGGCAAGCTGTCAATGATTTTTGCCTGCAAACACTTCTTGCCAATGGTTCCCAATGGGGTTTTGGGGCGCACAAGAGGGGCATCTTGCCCTCTTTTACTAGGAAGCGGATTTGCCCTGGCCAGCTCCCTAATGGCTCGGCGGCCACACAGAAGGGTTCCCGACTCTTCAAAGTCCTTCGACAGCTTTGGGAGCTTGAAACTAGGTTGAAAAGACCCACGCGCACCCTTTGCGATGCCATTGTTCTCCAGCGTACTGCTAGAAAGGCTTGGCGGAGTCTGGGTTGCCTTAACTCCCCTTGGACCTGGAACTCCCCTTTCACCTTTACCCTGGTTGACACTTTCAATAATGTGAGGTGGGTTAAGGAGGAAACTTCTCGATGGGAAACCACCAAAAAACGTGTGCGCATTGATGCTTGGAAGAGCCGTATGCAGGACTCCGCCAAAACAGATAAGAAACATCTTTTCCACCGTTTGAAAAACAAGTGCATTGATGAACCTGCAAACCTGGTTCTTGACCAAGAGGGCCATATCATTTTCAACCCATAAGAGGCCATTTCTTGTATTGCCAGTGATTGGGACGCCATTTACAGCGCCAATCTGTTGCGGAATAACCCTCTTGACATGTTAAATGTTATTTGGCCGTACCTTGACGAGCAAAAACCTTTTGAGTTGCCCCCGCTCACGGGCGAAGAAATTGCACTTACTATCAAAAGGCGGAATCCGATGGCAGCCCCCGGCTTAGATGGCTGGCGGACGACCGACCTGCAGCACCTTCCACTGCCGTGTTGCAGGGCCATTGCAAGTTTCTTTTGTGCCTTGGAGGACGAATGTGACTCAGAAATGCCTGCGGTCCTCACTAGAGCGAAACAGGTTATCTGAAACAAACCAGGACCCGCATCCCCCCTCAATAAAAAGTTGATTACGATTCTTTCGCCCATGTTGCTTGCTTACACCGGAACCGCTGCAAGAGTGGCAGAATCGTGTTTTTCCTCAAACTCTGTGTGGGGGAATTAAAAATCGGGACATGTCCGATGTCAGTGTAGGCTTGCGTTTTGAACTTGACTCCGCTCAAGCTTCCCCTGACCCCTTGGTCGGGATTAAGCTGGATCAGTCGAAGTGTTTCAATCGCTTGGTCCCTGATTTTACTGCAGCTCTGTTTCTCGCGTTCGGCGTGCCCAAGGGCATCGTCAACATTTTTCTCAAGGTGTATGCTTCCCTGAAACGCCATCTTTCTTACAGAGGGTGGGTCTCGAGCACCCCCACCACCGCTGCGAACGGTGTCGCACAAGGGTGTAGCCTGTCACTTCTCGCCATTAATGTCCACATGGCAGTGTGGGCAAAATTCATGAGCGTAATCCCACATGTTTGCTGCCGGGTTTTTATCGATGACGCCTATTTATGGGTTCGACTTTCACGCATCCAATCCCTGAGAACTGCCCTGCAGGTTACTGAGAAGTGGAATGAACTCATTGGTCAGAAACTAAACCCTGACAAGAGCTCTTTGTGGGCGTCCAATGCTGCTGCAAAGAAAACTGCCCGTAAACTCTTCCCAACCATCCCGGTGGTTCTTGAATTTGATGCTCTCGGTGCCATGATCTATACGGCACAACGAGATGCGTTTCATTTTCCAGAAAATAAGGTGATCAAGATTTGTAATGACACCAAGAACATTGCTGCTCTTCCTGTCCCAACAGCTACTAAATGTCAGTTGATTGCTGCCAGGTTATCCCACAGTGTACGTTTGCTTCTGACATCTCTTCCATTCCGAAGCTTGCTTGTGCGAAAATTGAAAAGTGAGATTGCTAATGCTATTTGGGGTAGGAGGCCCCACTGGCGTGCTCGGATGCTCATTTTCACATTCTTGTGCAACCCTTGCTTTGTGCATCCACGTGTGGCAAGAGCGTATGTCACTGTATGCAATGTTTGGCGCTATCTGCACCGACACCCTGAGGCTGTGGAAAAACTCCAAGGGCTTTTTGTTCATGCCAACCATCACAAACATAGTCTCCTTGCGCATTTTCGTGAGGCCTTGTTGGTTTTTCATTGTGCGCTTTTGCCCGACCTGTGCATTGGCATAGGTTCCTCTAAATTTTCGATCTTGGATGTCACTCCTAAAGATCTGCGGGGAATGCTGCATGCATTAGGCCGACAATATTGCTATGAAAGTACCAACTACAACTCCCGAAAGGACGTTCGCAAACCCACCGGTTTGGTTGATCATAGGCTCTCTTTGGCATTCAAAATGTGCCCTCCGAAGCACATTAATCCCAAAGAGATGATGCGCCACTTTGATGCGCAGCTAGTAGGGTGTACTATTACCAATGACAGAAGGGCAGCCGCTGGGTTCATTGATTCCGCGGCGTGCCGGTTTTGCCTGCAAACCAAGGAATCTCTATTGAACATTGTCAAGGAGTGCCCTGCTGCACCCTCCTTCATCGCGAGCCTTCCCGATCATGACTTGGGGCCTAATTTCTGTGGTTTAGGAATCATAGAACACCCTGCCGCTATTGCCTCCTCGCGGCTGCAGGTCTCTGATCTTCCTGTTTTTGATCCGGATGCTTTTGATCCAGCTGCGGATGAGCTCACATGGTTTACTGATGGATCTGTGGTACTCCAGGAGTCTTTTTGGCTTACGACCGCAGCCTACGCTATTTTCGACTGTGCCGAACACCTAGTTGTGTCGGGGCCTGTGCGACATATTTCGTTGGCTGCGTACACAGCTGAGCTCTTTGCGTTGCCGGTCGCTATCATTTTGGCACCGGCTTGCGTGACGATCTTTACGGACTGCAAGACCATTGTTGACCTCTTCTCCTCGATGACTCAGGGTGGCAATATACTTGTGTATTGGAGCCACGCTCCTATTTGGAGGAAAATTCTTCAGGTTTGGCAATCAAAAACAATGCGCTGTGTACGGCCAGTCCAAGTCTTGTGGATGCCGGCTCACACTTGTGACCATCGTGTGTTAAGCAGCATTGGAGTACATGAACAGTTCCCATCTGGTCTCTCCGGGTGGCACATCCGTGCGAATCGCCGAGCTGACGAGGAGGCAAAGCGCTTAGCAAAGGCCTCTGCAGCTTTCCATGTTGACATGTGGCAAGTCACCTTCCGCGCTGCCCAGCAGCGCCAAGAGGCACTCACTCGCCTCAACCAAATCATCGGGTCAGATGGTATTGTAAAGCAAGTTTTTCAAACCAAGGAAGATACCCTCCAGGTGGATGCCTCTGACGAATGCAAATCCCGTTTCCCTGGATGGGACTGGACTCCGAAATTTTCACTTTTTACATGGCGTGCACAAACAGCTTGTCCCGGGGCGGCGCAAGTGAGAACGTTGTGCAGTCTTGAAGATGCGGAGCAGTTTTTGTCTTTTCTCTTTTCCTTGCAGTGGCGAGTGGATGCGACTGTTTCCGTCGCCTATATGGAACTTGCTCATCTCTTTATTCCCCGCAAACATACTTTGACAAAGTTTTCTCCACAAGATTCTTTTGGAACGCTGGCCAAGACCTTGAAAAAGTGGTGTGGCTCTGTTTTTGGGATTCATGCACAGCTACTCCTCCCGGGAGTCCACAGCTCTGAGCACTGCCACCCCTGTGGTCGAGCCTTACCCAAGGGGATGATTCGTGGAGCACGGCCGCTTTTTTCCGATGCTGAGTTGCGGCATTTTGCTAGGTTGCTTCTGAATGGAGCGGGCCGTACACTTTTGTCTTGGGCATTTTCGATTTCTGAACATGGTGCTTAATTCACGTGTCTCTTTTTAGTCGTTGTCATTAGGGTTCACTTTTTCGCCACCCGTCCAGAGTGACGGTGGTGATGCCATCTCAGACTGGCAAGCATGGTGGAACAAGGACGCTACCAGGGGCTCCTGGCCTTACTACTAGGAGCAAGGACGCTACTAGGAGCTTCTGGCATCGCTACTAGGAGCAAGGACGCTACTAGGAGCTTCTGGCATCGCTACTTGGAGCAAGGACGCTACTAGGGCTCCTGGCCTGACTACTAGGAACAAGGACGCTACTAGGGGCTCCAGGCATCGCTACTAGGAGCAAGGACGCTACTAGGAGCTCCTGGCATCGCTACTAGGAGCAAGGATGCCACTAGGAGCTTCTGGCATCGCTACTAGGAGCAAGGACGCTACTAGGGGCTCCTGGCCTTACTACTAGGAACAATGAAGCTAGGACCCCCCCTCCTAGTAAACAACTTGGCCTTTTGGCTCCGGCAGCCACGAGCAAATTGATGATGCCCTGCTGGCCCGTCTGCTCGGCCACTTCGATGGGCGACAAAGGCTCCATACGAACCTTCTGGTAGCCCTAGGCTCCCGAGCGGAAGAACAGAAACAAGAAGCAAAAGGCTTTTCAGCGGGTAAAGAAGATTGCAAGCAAGAAGCAAACAAGAAGCTAACTGAAGGATATTGCAAAAGGCGAAAGGGATTTTCGCCCTTTCGACTCAAGCCCTTCCATAAGGGTCATTGCTTCAGCTTGCTAGCCAAAGGGACACTTTGCGACCTCACTTTAAGAAGACTTTAAGTCAACGGTGGAACTCCCTGGAATGTGTAATGATTCTCGGTATGAAACCTTGAACCGGAAGAATGCAACCGTTGAAAAACCAGGCAAGCTGTTCAATGGGCTTCAGAATCCGTGTGGAACTGGTTGCAAAGGTTGGCCGTCAATCTCCTTTGTTACTAGTAACAAGTGCCTCGCTAGTAGTAACAAGTGCCTTACTAGTAGTAACAAGAAGCTATTAGAATTAAACTAAAATCAAATTAGATTAATAGCTTCTTGTTTCTACTAGTAAGGCACTTGTTACTAGAGGCGATGCACTTGTTCCTAGTAGCTTCTTGGAGACTAAATGCAACTAGTAGCGATGCCCTTGTTACTAGTAGCTTCTTGCTCCTAGTAGTAAGGCCAGGAGCTACGTTCGTAGCGAGCCCGAGACGAGCCTGACTGTCTCGAGAACTGGTGATGTCCTCTTCAGCGAAACCATGCCGACGCAAGAACTCCTTTCTCTGCAAGTTTCGCTCCTGGAAATTCAGATTGGCATCGCGGCTTCACATTTGGTCAAGACTTGCGATGTGCCGCTTCAGATTTTGTTTGTCTTGGTCACGTCTCCTTGTCAACTTTGAAAATGCTGGTATCAACTTTAAAGTCATCAGCAGCAGGTTGACTAGGATCCAAAAGCTGTACATATATATATATATAGTCTTCGCACCTCGCAATCGCAGGCTTTACAATATGGAAATATGCACAGCACTTCACCACTGGTGCTTACAGCACTTTGGACACTTGGAGATTTGCCTGCGCTGGTCTCTACGGCACTTTGCGCTGGTATTTAATTCCTTTGGGCCCTACATGTCGCTTGATGAATGCATTAGTAGCAAAGACGCTACTAGTAGCAAAGGGCATCGCTACTAGGAGCAAGGACGCTACTAGTAGCTCCTGGCCTTACTACTAGCAACAAGACGCTACGGGTCGCAGTTATCTAAACATATCAAGCTGGACAGGTTGTGAGGAAAGAGCCTGCACCGGAATGACCATTAAACTTGCAACAGAAACCCAAGTTCGATGCCTTTTTGGTTTGCATTCTTGACGCCAACCTCCAAAGCAACAAAGCAACCAAGCCAGCGCAAAAGAGACAGAAGCCAAATGTCTCAAGAGCACAGGCGCAAAGTCAAAAGCTACGAAGCCACAGAAGCCAAATGCAACCGCTCCGCTATTGAACAAATTCGCTTCTCAATGTAGCCTCCCTTCGAAAACCCGCTTGCACGTGGCTGGACAATGACTGATACTCATGGATCCTTCTTTTGCGAGGGTTCTGTCTTCCGTTTGGCATGAAAACTATCGGATTTCACGAACACAACACCCGGAGTCATGGGTTGTCGTACCTTTTGCCACGGAAGTGTGCCTTCCAACATCAAAAATTTCCTGGTGCTTAGTTGAAGGTTAGCACCCAAAATGCCCTTGTGGCGATCTTTTCTCCTTCTGTGCCCTTGCTGAGGTCGGGTCAAGGGAGCCATAGTTCAGGGACATCCCCCGAGCAGCGCAGCTCTCTATCTCCGTCTACGAGCAACAACAAAGTGTGCGATTTGATACTCCCTATCTTGAGCCCAGAAAAGCAGTGAGAAGCAGTGGACATTTGATAGCATTTAGTCTAGAATCTGAATCTGCGTTTTTCCTCAGAAAAGAAACAAGAGAAACAATGAACCCCAATGCTGGGAAAACAAAATATCGGTTTGCACTTTGATGAGCAGAGCAGATCTATGATGCTCATTATTGGTTGGAATAGCCTGCAGCTTCTCGGAGGTCTCCCGCAAGATCCTCTCCCAATGAACCTACAAGAGAACAGCTCATGAGTCCATCACTCGACGTCTTTGACCTTCCGGCAATTGGCTAAACCTTAGTGCCCAACCTGAACTGGCACGAAACAACTCCTGACTCCTCTGAACTCCAAGAACAATGCATCTCAAATACCTTGCGTTTTGTGATATAAAACCACTGCCAGAAAAGAAAGAGAGCAGAAACCCACGACTGATCACACTGTGGGTGCTCAACGCGGAATCCGCGCCTCAGCAGAGCTTAAGGCAGGCTGAAAGGTGAGTGCCTCACACGTTGGTCCGGTCCAGTGCGACAATCCGCGGTCTCTAGTAGCGTCCGATCGCTCCGTTCGTAGCGATGCCAGGAGCCCCGAACGTAGCGTCCACAATGGCTGAAACACAACATACACTCTAGTAGCGTCCAAAGAGTTTTTGCCTTCTTGTGTGACAAATGATCTGTGTGTCGTTGTAGAACAGTGGTATTGTGACCTTCGGTCAGAGCTCCTGTTGCAGAAGCTCCGCGTCTCTGTGTTGACTCTGGCGCAGCTCCTGCATGGAGAGAAGTGGATGACTCCAGTTCTATTCAATCATTTTCAATGATACAGGGAGCACTCTAAAGCACCGAGCACTTGGATGATGACGCTTGGCGCGCTAAAACTCTAAATGCATGTGAACCTTGGACCCTCAGGAATCTCTCCGCGGCCTTCAAGTCCTCTGCCAAAGAGGAATGCTCCTGGCGCGCAGCGGAAGATTGTTCTCAGGCCTACATCTGTCAATGCAGAGCAAAAACTCTTGGACTGCGGAGCTTCAGCTTTCAGCGCTCTTCTGTTCCGCTGAAAATTTGTTCGAACAATCCCGAGCATTTCTTGCTAAGTTCTGAGAGTCAAACAAAACTTGTAGTTGCTCTCAAGAAATCCGGCCAAGTCCTTTCACCACGAGACGGACCTGTTGAGAAAACAAAGGGGGTCGGCTGCAACGCACCGCCTTGCCCAACAGTTTCTTTTCACAACACCGCATAAACAATAATAATTATAGGACCGGATAACCCCACATGGGAACAACTCCGAAAGATTGAAGCTGCAGACATATGGTGCTGAAGAGTGAGCATGGGGAAGAGACAGGCGAGACAAATAGAATGCGTAAGGGTCGGTGTGTGTAGGTGAGGTGTGTGTTTGATTGTATGTGTTTGTCCGTGAGTGTGTATGAGTGTGTGGGTGGATGTATGCTGTATGACGCTTGTGTGCATGTAGGTGTTTGTAAGGTGCGTGTTTGTGTGTATGTGTCTGTTCATCAGTGTGTATCTGTGTGTATCCGTTTGTGTGCATCTCGTCAGAGAGTCGGTCGTCGGAGACGAACTGGTCCAAGTGTCCTGAGCAGGAAGA